TCATTAGAGGGGAAAGACATGTATACACATATTACTGGGGAAAGTACCCATAGAATTTACATATGGTTGAGTTATAGTAGTCCCCATCTCTTTAATAACATTGAGATTATAAAAATGGGGTTCAGACTCAACTATTTAGCTAGAAAATTTATTTGAAAAGTAAACAGTTTCACTATATGAATTCTTACATCTCCATAAAAGGGTACAGAGCATAAATATGGACCACTGAATATATGATGTATGCAAACCCTTCTAGTATGAATCAAATTGTCTGTTTTGTATTTTTACAATGTCTAAGTGGGAATTAAGTGGTTAAAACAAAGTACTGCTGTTAAAATTCCCTGCATTAACTCTTCTAATTATTTCCAGATTTAATCATGATTTGTACTTTGAGTGAGCCACTTAAAGTTTCAATAACTTAGTTTCTCAGACTGTATACTGGGGGCTGAAATTATGGCTTCTATTTATATTGAGCATATGGAAAAAGGAGATATTAAATGACCAACAGTATATTAAGCCTAAACCCTTCTCTTTTGTCCCATTCAGTAACATTTAAACCCTACAAGCTCCCTGCTGGAGAGGGAAATGCTGGGAAGCACGTCCATTCCAATCCCATCCTTAGCCCAAGTGCGTATGCCCTGGGAAGAACCATACAAACACTGACAAGAAACTTAATGAAGGTTCCTTTTCTTTTCCACCAGTTTTGGGTAAGACAGTGTTAAGAAAGTATCAATACAGAATAACACAAAATACCAGAAAGTTGTGTTGGAAAACCTGAATTGAGACAACAGCAAACTTGTCAGGACAGCCCTTGGGATTGCTTGGGAAGTACCCCAGAACCTCTGAGAATAAAGGGCCTGGCTTGACCTTATTTTGACATTTCTTTCTGGGTCTCCTGCTGTGGACACCATGGGGTGCTAAACTGATTGCACTGGCCATTCCTGCCAGCTTTGCCCTGGGTACTCCTAAAAAGAAACTGAAGTGCTGGGTACTCCTGGCTGTTATCAGGACTCTTTAGCTACATCTGAGGTTGACTCACACAAAATTTCATTAGTAAAATGAAAAGAAATAGACCCTGAAAGCTACTCAATGCTTTATTTCTGAGGGGGGAGTACCTCCTCTCTCTTTTAGTGACATTTCTGAAGCCTTAGCTCTCCTAGAATTTCCAAATATAAAAAAATAACAATGAAAACATGTAATTGTGACATGGGAATACTGCGAGAACAGCAGTTTGGCAGGAAAAGGAAATATTTCAAAATAAGTCCCAAGCAAGCAAAGTTCTGGCAGATACACGATCCTGGATTATATTATCCAAACTGTTAGATTCTGGAAGATTTGGGGTTTTCTTTTGTGGTTCCCATACCCTTAATAGAATGGTGGTAGATGACCATCCACACTGTGTGGCCCTTCCCTCCATTACTACTGTGGGAAAAAAATGCACAAGAGGTACCAGTGAACTCCCCAGTGGCTGGCCTGAGTCTAAGACTTGTGCTGAGCTGATGTTTACTGTCACGTATAATGCTAGGAACTGAAGATCATCTGAGAAAGCCCGCTATCCTATCCTACCAAAGCGCAGATAGGATCCTAGTCCCTATCTGCCTGTGCACCAATTAAATCTCTCAACTGGTTAGGAATCATGTCTAAAGGGAGTGCCATTTACCTCTGTATGCTGACACTTAAATTGCACACTTTTTTTTTAAGATTCTCGATCTTTGAAAAATATTCCATTTTGCTTCAAAGAAAATATCACCATCAGTGGAAAAATAAGCGGAAAACATAAAGGAAACATTCGCTATTTCCAGAAACCTCAGAAAGCTCGTAGAACCAAGCTAACTTACATGGAGGTGACAATGCATAGAATTAAGAGAAGTTCCTGTTCTCCTCTGTAAGTCAGATTAACTGCTTTAGAATTCAGACCATATCTCTTTCAGCTCTTTTCATTTTCAAATAAAATGTTTAAATGGGAATGGAAAAAAACGGCTCGTTGGCTTAACATAAATCTTCAAGCTGCAGGAAGTTTCACCCTCAAAAAGTAGTTAAATCTCTGAGGAAAAAGAAAAGGCTGAATTCTATTTTTCATAAATGATGGATTATTGTACCACACTGTGTATTTTCCAGTAAAGTGTCCTTTTATTTGCACTGTGTGATTACAAGTTTCTAAAAGTATGTGTGGGGTCATTGGGTGCTGTGGGAAAATGAAAGGAACACTGTTCTGTGGGATCAGTAGAGAGATCAGAAGCGAGCTGTCCTGATTATCACAGGCATGTGTTTAAACTTTGCTTTCCTTAATTGCTTATGTTGTATTTACTTAAAATGAACAATTTGGCAAGTTCTTCTCCCTTGACAACAGAAAAGCATAAACTGTTTTATAAGTTTGGCTGTTAAAATCAGATTTGTAAACCACAATATTCAAAGGCTTTTACTGCTGTTTGCAGGGCCCTGTGATGGACCTGTCTTCATAGCCAGGCGTCTCTTACATTTTTATTTTGTATTTATAGCGCTTTCTTTCAAGTTATTTGGTTAATAAAAAGTATGTCATATATTACAGTCTTCCACTGACTTTAACGTCTTCATAACTCCCTCTAGAACAAAGTGAGCAGAGCAATGGTGGCAAAGACCTTGCAGTCTTACTCGTCTGAAGATTATTTATGACTTCAGGAAATGGAAGTTGACACTCAGGAAAGCCATGATTACAGGCACCTTTTGAGAGTTTGCCTCTGCTAAAAACTGTGTGATCCCACCCATGATGCTACTATGATGTATAAGAAGGAAAGAAGATGAAACATTTAGAAACCTATTTCCATTTCCCTTACAATCCAATACACCTTACAGACATTCCTCACATGTGGAGCCAGATGGTGGTATTGAAAACAATATAATATACATATATATCTCTCTAATTAAGAATACTATCTCTGGAATACCTAAGGGGTTCCAAAAAGATATAACTCACTACATAATTATTTTCATAATGTAACATTTGTAGTATGTGTGTGCGTGTGTGTGTGTGTGTGTGTGTGCTAATTTGCAAAGTACTTTCTAGTCATGCTTATGAGCTCTGTAATAGCAGATACGTTGCCTGGTCCTACATATTTTGACATCCTGTCATGGGAATTGCAGGGTTTGAGGTGAGAAAAGAAATGGAGAATAGCATCTTTGGTATCATGGAAAAACTTAGATCAGTTGTTCTGTGCAATTACCAAGGTGGACTTGAGAAGGAAATCTCCCCCAAGAACACTGTGTTCTTTAGCCTCCCCCACAGGAACTAAGACCTGGAACCTTTATAATTATTTACAATTGTGACTACTCTACTAATACTCCATCATTCTTCCCAGGGCTGTAGTATTACCTGTGGTGTTAACTATTCCTACTCATATACCACTGCAGTTCAATGCAACGCCCAAGCCAGATAAAAGCTGTTTCCTCAGTGTGCTGATGAAACTTCTACCACCACAAAAGGAGAGTTTAAGTGTGCCATATTAATGACCCAATAAGTTTAGGTAATAGTTCTCAAGCAGAGACAATTTTGCCGCCCTCCAAGGTACATTTGGGTCTGTCTAGAGGTATTTTTGATTGTCACATCTGATGAAAAGGTGCTTCCGCAGCCTGCAGAGATTATGTAAAAAGTCCCCTATAGCTACTACAACCAAAGTCACCTGGCCTAAAACACAGATAGTTGAAAACTGCTAGCTACAGGCAAAATTAAGTATTATGGTCTTTTTCTAGGATAAGTACTGCTCCCAGTTCTATCCAGCATCTTGTCTCATGTCTCAACTAACTTTTTAAAATTTAATTGAAAATAAAACTCCATCATTCTCCCCAGCTACCTGGTAGGCAGGATCTTCACCTTCTTCTGTCCTCCAGCTGGATGTTTCACTTTGACTTCTAGCCTTGTCAACTGAAGTTTGTTCCTGCCTGGGGTCCAAGGTGGAAGAAGGAGGATGTAGATATACCCTTACATGGCTGACTGTAGGATTTCTCACCCTCTGAACAAGGCAGATTTTAAAAACACACTATACATTTTTGTCGATAATTGGGTTAAAAGAGTGGAGACAGAGCTAGACTATATCTATCTCACAGGCATATCAAATTGCCATCGGTAATTAATAATAACAGCCTGTGAATATGGCTGGAATGTAGGCTAAATGGAAGGCGATAGCTTATGTGTTACATTTGTCATTGAATTCACAGCCTTCAGTATGGAGTGTGATGATCAGGAGGTTTTTGTTCAGGACTGAGCTTGACACACATTTGACTGAAAATAGAACTAAGATCTGAGGGCAGAAGAATTAGAGGAATGTGGAAAATTCTGAGGCAAATTTTATAAATTTGAATAAGAAGGGGCTGCATCCCAGGAAAAGATATCATATGAGTTCATATGAAAAAGAAGAGGAACAAAATAACTTGGGGCTGGGCAGTGGTGGCGCACTCCTTTAATCCCAGCACTTGGGAGGCAGAGGCAGGCGGATCTCTGTGAGTTCGAATCCAGGCTGGACCGCCAGCCTCCAAAACAGAGAAACCCTGTCTCATAAACCCCCACAAAAAATTACTTGGGCATACAAAACTTTCAGAACAAACTACACCTTATATAGTTAAAGCAAGCAATCACTATTGTTGGAAATTAACAGAGCTGAAGAGATCTTCCAGTTTAGGTTATTTTTCTCTGACTGTAATTTTGTTCTCAGATACAAGAAAATGGAATCATCTAGAGGAAGGTTTCTATGTTAAACATAAGGGAATGGAAATAGGGGCTATATAGCTAGCCCTTTTCTCTTGCACATTGGGTTACAATAATACAATGCTTTGGTGTAGACAAATTGTGTTCCTCCATCCTACCTAGATAGACGGGCCCTGGCTGTCATCCAGGTAGTCATTCTGTAACTTGTCTCACATTTGTCTTTACACAAAGTAATAATCATAAGCAAACTTGTACAAAAGAAACAAAAAAAAACAAAACAAACAAACGAAAAAAAACCTTTGACTTTGTCATTAACCCTTAGTGTTCCGGCTGCATCACAGTGCTTCTGATACAAGTGACAAAAACCGTGTGAAGAGCAGACTGAAGAAGTTCATCTCCCGAAGACCTTCTCTGAAAACTTTGCAAGAAAAGGGAATCATTAAAGGTACGGGATGGTGTAGTTTTCATGGGTTACTCTGTAATGGAAGAAAAATGACCCTGGAGTAAATAAAGTTGGTGGTGTGAGATGATAGAGAAAAGAAATACCCAGAGTTGGCCTCAGAGGACCTGTCCTCTGCACCAGAGACAGAGAATTTATGTCCTGGGAGATGGACCGTGAGAATGACAGCTTGTTCCCATGGGGCCTCTGCTGTTTATATCTGTTGCTCCAGCATACTTAATATCGGTAGCCCTTTTCACTGTCCAATGTTTCCTGACTTAAATAATGGTATCTAGTCACTGAAACCAGAGTTTTGTAAAATGCTAGAAAGAAAGACAGCGTTGCCTAGAGGATGACAGTTCAGCATGAAGGAAAAGGAGATACCTTTGCAAAATATATCTCAGATAGAGAAAAAAATCCTAAACTATGCTAGCAATGAGACTGAAAAGACAGTTCCAAGTATTACTACAATCAGAATTCAGGCTTTGTATCTACTAGTTAATCCTGTTGACAATGTAGAAGTGAATTTCATGAACCTCAGCTTCTCCATGTGTTAAATGAGAATACTTATGCACACCTGGGGAGGGCATTTAGTACACTGTCAACTCAGCTTCATTTAGTAGCCTTCAGTAAGTTCTACCTTTGAATCCATCCTGTGGATGATCTGATTTTAGAAAGATTCAGGTGTAAGTTATACACCTGGTTAAGAGATTTAGAAAATTCATTTGATCTCAGGGAATGTCAACTTTATCTATAGCTTAGATTATTTTTGTGACTGCAGTAGAATGAACAGCTTCTAAATTCAATGGTAGGATCTGGCTCCAATCAGGTGAGCAAGTTAGACGCAGCAACACCCTCTAGAATGGCAAACTAGAAGCCAATGCTAATACAGTCATACTGACTGATGTTTGCCAGCTTTCCTATCTAGAGCTCCATTGAGGTTTCCCCATAGCTCACCCATGAGTCAGTATTCATTAGCAGAGCTATGGAAAATCTATGTGTAATTCTGATTTGATAAGCTTCCATTGTTGTCTTCAGTGGCATCTTTTTTTCCAAATACAGATCAAGTTATGCAAATGCAGTCACTTCCTGGCTTGTTTCAATTTTATCTATGAACTTTTCTCAAGACTTTCACTGAGATTTTTTTTCAGCTAGATAAATGGCATTAAACCAATTTTTTAAAGTATCTGGCTATTAAAATTCAGCACTTCAGCACAATTTTCATTGTTAAAACAGAGTTGGGGAGAGTAAAATGAAAATTTTAATCAGTTAAGAAAATTACATAAAATAAATGAATAGTTAAACTGTTAATTTCACCAGTAAAAAAAAAAGAAAGAAAGGAAACATCTTTCAAGGGAAGGAATATTGAGAAAGAGTGCTAATGTTCTCTATAAATGACTCTGTGTTACATTTAAAAGGAGCATTCATATTACAGTCTTTAAGCTGACCTAGATGTAGACATCAGACCCACAGCCATAGTTAGGTGAGCTGTCCTTCCTGCATTTGATTCTCCAGACCCAGAGATGATTTGTCAAGACCCTGGCCACTTTCCAGTGTTCCCTCTCTTATGTACTTATTTCCAATAGTAGAGGGGACTGAACTCTGACTTTAGCCAATCCTCACTGAACACCACTGTGTGGTCAGAAGCTAGTACCTTATAGACTGTGGTACTCAATGTGGTGTCCACAAAGCACACACAGTCACAAGCCACTTATGCAAAACCTATGTTTTGAGTCACTGAGACCTGGAAGAATGTAACTGCACAGGCTAAAATCTGGATCCGGAAAGCCACTGGATTGGAGGAATTTTATATTTTTAATAGAGTTATTGAGAAAATACAGTGATACCAAATATTATAAAATGGCAAGCCACCAGATAACCTCTGAAATTGCCCAAATGGATTTGCATTGCCTAAGGGAGGAAGGAGACCTTTTCAGACATATGAGTTCATTACAATGAGCTAGGTGCTCACTGGACACAAAATTATAATCAGCTCAATATATAGATTGTGAGCAATGAGGTGCATTTTGGGGTAGTAGGTGTGCTGTACATAACTGCAACTCATTTATGGAACTGGATAGCTCTTTAGGTTCACCCAAGTTTCTCTGTTGTAAATTTTTAAATAATAGCATTGATGTTCATGAATAGGAATTATTTGGGTTTATAGCTTTTAGAAAAGGTAACAATTATTTGGTGTTGGGGCTTTTGTTGCTTCATTTAGGACTTCCTGGGTATAAAAATAATAGAGCTGTGTGCTTAGAAAATTGTTTTATTCATCTTACTATGGACAGAACCCAAGTGAAATTAATACCATATTGCTTCCATATTTACTCATTAGTATATGAATCTATTTAAAGATTCAAAGATAACAGAGGAAACTCAGAATGTGTGTTATTAAGAACATTTCAAGCTCCATTCCCACTTTGCTCTTAAGGGGAAGCCACGTTGCTTTCAATTCAGAGATCTGCTGGAGGTGAGCTCCTTATCTGTGTGATTGTTGTGTGGGTGCAGACTAGTCTGCCAAAATTTCATATTGTTAATGTTGACTAGTCTTTCAGTATCTTTTGTATCTTTTATGATGTCTTTCCTTAACATCCTTAAAGGTCTTAAACAATGTCATGGCTGATGAGTTCCCTGAGAGATAATGTCTGTGTTGCCCAAGGTTAAGTTTCACCAGCTAAAATCAACCTGTTTTATTTTTTATTATTATCTATTTGTGCAGATCCCCCTCACAACAGTTCTTTTCTTTTTGTCTTGCTATCTTGGCTTTTATGCCATTGAATGCTTTCTCACCTGTCTTTCTGTTGTATTCTACCACCCCTGCTTTTCTCCTCTGGATATCTTCTAAATTCATAAAGAATCCTCAGCTTGGAATGCTGTTTCAACACCTTCTCATTTTCTCTATGTTCTGGATTGTATTTGTTCTCCTGTAACCGTATGATTACTACTTATTCTAGTCCCTTTTGTTACTATGAAACAGGAATCATTAACTCATTTAGAAAACACATTCAATATAGCTACCATTTTGGGGGTTTGTTTGTTTGTTTGTTTTGAAACAAAACCTCCAACTTCCACCAAGCCTACCAGGGCAAGGTTTTGTATTTGTTCGTTTGGGTTCATTGTGTGTGTGTGTGTGTGTGTGTGTGTGTGTGTGTGTGTGTGTGTGTGTGAGTGAGAGAGGTAGAGAGGGAGAGAGAGAGACAGACAGACAGACAGGAGACAGAGAGAGACAGAGACAGAGAGACAGAGACAGACAGACAGACAGACAGACAGAGAGACAGAGAGACAGGAGACAGAGAGAGACAGACAGAGAGAGAGACAGAGAGAGAGAGAGAGAGAGAGAGAGAGAGAGAGAGAGAGAGAGAGAGAGAGAGAGAGAGAGAGATGCTTAGATATGCTTGGGATCAAACCTAGAGCCTTGTTCATACTATGAAAGCATTTTATTACTAAGTTCTTTCCCCCACCCAGCTAATGCTCACATACTGTACCAGTAGTTCAGTTGGATATAAAATCCCACTACTATAAGACAGAAACTTTTATAACTGTTCACCTTTTACACAGTAATGGTTGCTTTTTTCTCTATCAAATGAAAATCTTTTGGTGTTTTGTGTTTAAGTTTTATAAGCAAGATAATGTATATAGTTGGCAACACTTGTCTAATTTATTCTGCTTAGCACTTAATCCCAAGGATAGTGATTCCTTTCAACTCTAAAAGGCTTTTTTTTTGTTTCGGTGTTGACACATTCCTCCCATGTGTGTCCTGTTCCTCTTTTGAGCCCTTATCTTACTGTTAGATCACCAGAATGAATTGTTTTTCCAATCTTAATTTTTCTCCTATTCTGAAAGAATCCTCAGTCTTAACCCTCAGTCTTTATAAGTTTGGCAATAATTCTTTATCTGGACTTCTTTCTTTTTCTCTGTTCTCTTTGCATATCTCATTCTTTTCCACATCATGAGAGTAAACTTGGCACTCATTCAGCCACGGTCACTAATGACAGAACTGTCACTTAGTGTGCTCCTTTCCATTAAGTTAAGGCTGCATACATGTGCGTGGTTTTTCTTTAACTTATGCCAAGACATAAATTAGAATTTTTGTTGCTTTGAAGTTTTGACTCTTTTTTTTTAATTTTAAAATATTATCATTCTTGGAGTCTTTCATTTCATTTGATTAGACCTGTTTGCTTATTTCATTGTGTCTCTGTCAAGTCAATTATTTTGCTCAAAATGTCTGACAAATCTCTTAGGAAGGCAAGGACACTGAATCTACTGGTTTTGAGAAAAGTGAGCTGAGAGCTTGAGCTTACCCTTCTAATTCATTTTAGATTGTAATCTTTGTTTTTAAGGTGACATGTGCTTGTTTCTTTATCAGTTATCTTCACTTGAGTCATGTTGGCTAACTGCAGGGACACTGAAGTATTTGCCCACACAAGTACAACTAATTGTTTAAAATTTTTGTCAGAGAAGAAAATGTCTTTGAAATGGCACCGTGCTTTTGTAAAAGATATCATTTACATTGAGAAATAGAGAAATATTCACCTTTCATACTGCAAATAGAAGTCAGTCCTGTGTTTCCCAGGTGTGTTTATGAATACTAAAATAATTGAGTTAAAGAAAAGTATTTTTTCAACAATTTGGTAGAATTTATAGATGACAGAATAGCCTTATTATCACGCTGTTAATTACAGAAAAAAATCTATATAACCATCAGTGCAATGCAGTTTTCAGTAGAGACATGCTCTTGCCACCTCTCACTATCAGGCTGAGAATAATTGTATTTGGATTTATACACTAGGGCGTGGGGCTGTCATTACTTGAGCATGAAGCAGTCTCACAGCTTCCACAATATGCACTAATGTGCTTAAAAATATCTTATAAATCTTCTTTTCTTCAAACTTCTTTATGGCTCATAATTGAACTGTGATCCTTATATGTGAGCTATGTCATGATTTAATATTAGCCAAAATTAATAGCCAACCTTAAGCTTCTTTATCTTGGCCTACAAGCTT